AGAGAGAGAGAGAGAGAGAGAAGGAGAGAGGGGGGGACATTTTCATAACCATAACACAGCTCAATACATCGGTCGTACAAGGTCACAGCTCTCATCATTACCTTACAGTCTTCACAATCCTCCGATCAACACTTAAAAAGAAAAAATCAATAAAAGTATGTTTTATGACTATTATGGGACTAGAACAGACACGTTCCAACAATCAGAGAGTTCAGGTAGAGTTAGCGAAGACTTCACTACTTCAGAGTTACAAAGTTCAATCTGCTCAGTACATAGTTTTGAGAAATCTGGCGTCAACGTTTTTGAGTTTCACATCATTTCAAGCTTTTTTTAATGCAATTTCTTAAAATGTCTTGATAACGACTCCGAATAACCTTTCGATTTTGATAGAGCAGATAGAACATTTGCTTTCTGACCTCATGGTCTTAGTAACTCAAAACAGACAAAATTGGCAGATAAAAACTTTGTAATTCTGAGGTAGCGACTTGTCAACGTGCTGTCATCTTTGGAAAGTTCGTAATGTCTAAAGCTAGTGAATGATTTATTTACCAGTAGTCAGCATTTCTTGAAAATAGCAATAAACAACCGAAAATAGCAGACTTATTTGTTTAGTGATGTTCTGAGACCAGACTCAAAAGCTTCTGGGTTTGTTTCGTTGTTGTTGATGTTGTTGTTGCTGTTGTTGTTGTTGTTGTTGTTGTTGTTGTTGTTGTTGTAAAACTACTGAAACTACATAAACATTGCTGAAAATAAAATATTGTAAGGAAAATATTAAGACATTAATTCTATCTTTATCCCCCAAACCATCCCCTTTTCATGACAACTGTGACGTCATCGCTAGGGGATTACAGTTAAGTAAGGTTCACACTCGTGGACAAGTCTGCTCCACCAGAGTCGTACAAAAACATGTACAGTCCAGTCCATTTATAACAGCCCCTGTTATTACAGGAACTTGGATATAACAGTGATAAATCAAACCCCCAATGTTGTTGTTGTTGTTGTTGCTGTTTTGTTGGGTGGTTTTTTCCTCTATGAGTGTAAGTAATATGAACCTGGCTATAACAGTGTACAATCAGAGAGGGTTTACTTTAATTACTGTTAACTCTCTGGTTCAATTTGCGCACACTCGGATATAACAGTTATCTTTCAGTGCATAAACTTGTTTTCGATCCGTCAAATTATTATTTGTCTCAACCAAGACATTTCGCCGGTTTGTATGATTGTTTGCCTAAACACAAACTTTCAAACACATAACCTCCCCCCCCC